TTTTCTTTATAATTTTGAGGATTTCAGCTGATTTTATCTCAAGAGTTTTGTCAAATTGACAACTTTTGTTTCTAGGTTACCTTAATCTTGTTTGATTATCTCAAGTTTGGTTTTTTAAACATTGTTGGTTTTGTTTTAATCTCAATCCAAGTCAATGGCAACATTTGCAAGACTGTTGTTTACCCTGAACTTTCAGTATCTCGAATGATAGCTTAACCCCTCTCCGAGGACAATATATTTCTTCCTACTTTTCTAAAAGCTGAGTGACCGTTATATCATAAATTCTCCTGTATTAAGTCTCTTATTTCTGAATCAATTTTTTGTGTTTAACAGATATGCCTCCTTGCGAAGGCGGCTCCTAGTAGATCCCCATATTCCGAAGGAAGGAAGTAATTCCCCTGATCTTACCATGGATAATCCACTCTCACAAAATCCAGGTGACATTTCTTGTTACTTTTGTGAACTATTTCTAATTTAATCATACTTACTGTTAGTGACTCAGAAAATTAGTTCTCAAGGATGTCTGTTGTTAATTATTGCGCTTTCTTTTGTGCAGTTTTGCCTGCTTTTAGTTATTATGTTCTTCTCAAATTTTTGTTAGAATTACTGTTAAACCTATATGGACTATTTTCCAGTCCTGGTTGTGTGATCACGAAGAAATGTGATCTTGTCCTATTTATCTATTCCTTTCAGCTCTACCCCACTTGCTTGGTCTTCCATCCAACACTAGTAAACTTACTTCTCTATAATCCTCATTTTCAAAGGGGTAATATCATTACAGATTTTAAAGTTGTCAAGTGTCATTTTTAACCAACTGAAGTTTTAATTTGGAAAAAAACAAAAGAGCTTTCAAAATTTCAATAATCACCAAAAATGCCATGTCTGAGGGTTTTATTTGGACAAGAGTCATACTAGTGTCCTCTTCCATGTGATTATTGTTGCTATTTAACTTGATCCACCAAATATATACTGTCAAACACAATTTCAGAGGACAATCATTGCCTATTTTTTTTTTTTTTTCCTTTAAATAGTATCTGGACAAGAATGGTAATTAGACTGTTCTTGTATGAGAAATTTCTGCTACATCTAAATATCATTTTGTTTTCTTTTTTTAATTCATTAGATGTAATTGTCCCATGCAGACAGCACCTGGAGTCGCTTCTTTCAGAATGCTGAGTTGGAGAAAATGGTTGACCAGGATTTATCTCGATTATATCCAGAACAAGGAAGCTACTTTCAGACACCTGGATGCCAGGGGATGTTAAGACGGATTCTGTTGTTGTGGTGCCTTAGACACCCCGAGCATGGTTACAGGCAAGGTAAATTATATTAGTGGTATGGATTGATATTACAGATTTCATTTCAAGCTCCACAACTACTCTTTTGCTTTGCACACCCTATAATCCTTTTTTCTTGTGTAAATTATGCATGTTAAATTTTGGCTATTGTGGATTAAATGTGGAATGTATTTCTGTTCTTGCCCTTGGATGTGTGTTGATAATTGGAAAATTTTGGAATCCTAAGTTGTCTGCAATGAGATGCAGAGGAGAGGGGCTTTGCTGGTACTTGGATGAATCTTCCAATTTCAGATTATAGCTGCGATGACTGTGTTATTGCAAAACAATATGTGCAGTCAACATACAATGCTGAAAGAGGCTCGGTGGTTTAACTGTACAACTACCAGCCCTTGTACAGAGTGGGAAGGCAATTGGTTTATATAGGCCCTTTTACAACCACTTTCTCTCTCCATCCCTGCCTCTAGTTTGCTTTTTTTTTTCAATAGAGTATTGCTTATTTATGAGGGTTCTATTTTCCAACAAGTAATCCTTCTTTTATCTTTTGCAAGTACATTTTTTTTTTCAAAATTTAATATTAATATTCACTGGCTCCATAGTCATGTCTTTCTTGTTCTATTTGTAGGAATGCATGAACTCTTGGCTCCTTTGCTGTATGTCCTTCATGTTGATATTGAACGTCTCTATGAAGTTCGAAAGCTTTATGATGATCAATTCACAGACAAATTTGATGGCTTATCATTTGAAGAAAACGATAGTACATACAATTTTGATTTCAAAAAGTTTTTAGATTCTGTTGAAGATGAGTGTGGTTCTCAAGGGAATTCAAAAAAGGTTAGGAGCCTTAATGAGCTTGAACCTGAGATACAGAATATTATATTGCTTACTGATGCCTATGGAGCTGAAGGTGAACTTGGCATTGTCTTATCTGAGAAATTTATGGAACATGATGCCTATTGTATGTTTGATGCTTTGATGATCGGGGCACATGGTTCGGTTGCTATGGTGGATTTTTTTACCTCCTCTTTAGCTGGATCCCACAGTGGCTTACCCCCTGTCATTGAGGCCTCAGCTGCATTATATCATTTGTTGTATGTTGTTGATTCATCATTACACAGCCACCTCATTGAGCTTGGTGTTGAACCCCAGTATTTTGCACTTCGTTGGTTGAGGGTTTTATTTGGACGAGAGTTTTCAATTCAGGACCTCTTGATAATATGGGATGAAATATTTGCTGCAGACAATATTAAACTAGTTAATGGTACCGAAGATGATTTAGGTTCCAGCTTTATAATACTTACTTCGCCTCGGGGAGCATTGATCTCAGCTATGGCAGTTTCAATGATACTTTACATTAGATCTTCCTTGCTTGCTACTGAGAATGCAACATCCTGTCTCCAGAGACTCTTGAATTTTCCTGAAAACATAAATCTAGGGAAAATTATAGAGAAGGCAAAGTCTCTTCAAATTCGTGCATTGGATGCTAATGTTAATGTCTCACCCTCATCTTTCTCATTTGATGGGGCATATAACCATAGCAAATCAGTAGTAGTAAGAAGTCATAACCTTCCATCTGACCCAGTTTCTCCAAAAACTCCTCTAAGTCTGGTATCTGATAGCTATTGGGAAGAAAAGTGGAAAGTTGTGCATGAGGCAGAAGAGCAAAGGCAAGGTAGTTCAGAGAAAAAAAAATCAAGCCAGAGAAAACGGTGGTCAGAAAAAGTGCAATTGCGCCTATCTAAAGCAGAATTTGACCCATCTTTATCAAGGGTTGAGAATGGCAAAAGGGACCATAAGTCAACCACTCGGCGAAGTTTGCTTGAAGATCTGTCACGGCAACTTGGCCTGGACGAATTAGGTGAAAAGTTTGGGTCTCATGAAGCTTCTAGTGAGGAGGATCAAAATTCTGTAGAAGCTCAGGTAGAGGGGCAAAATGGTGTTAACAAAGAGTTTACTTGCACAGTGGAAGAGAGATGTCCAAGTGGAAATATTGTCAGTGAAGAAGACTCATCTACATTTTCTGACCCAACAAGCCCTGCTAATGGCACTAATGCCCGGGAAAATGACTCGGAGAAGAGTAGCGTTGCATCAAATTTATTCATGGATGAGAATTATGATCATTCATACGATAATGCAGAAGATTCACCTCTTCCAGTTTCCATTCCTCCTGATGGTGTCTCTCTAAGTTCTCCATGCAACAATGATTCTCCAGGAAAAACAGAAGCAGATTTGAAGGATCAGAACCTTCAATCAGGCAAATTCCATTTCCAGTGGTTTTGGAAGTTTGGACAAAGTTCAGTCGGTAATGAGTTATCTGAGAAAGGAGGAGGTACTCATGAGGTTGTGGAAGCTGTAAATGGTGAAAGTAATAAAAGCACTAAAATAGACTCTTCCTCTGCTAATGTGTCTCGTAGTTCATCTCCCAGCAGCAAAGGAGATGCGGTGGACCAGAATGTGATGGGCACGTTGAACAATATTGGGCAGTCTATGCTTGAGCAAATTCAGGTAAGATTCTGGTTTTTGGTAACTGTCTAAGGTGTCCGTTGTTTGGTGAATTGTTTTCTTGTTAATAGGGAAATCTACATCCCTTACTTAATGTCCCACATTTTAAGGATATATACTGGTTTTAAAATATCCATAATCTTTGATATAAATATATATAGAAACTTTGCAAATACATAAACGGTAGTAGACCATAGGAGGGTAAATTTCTATGATATGGATGGTGTGGAAACTGGTATAACTTGATGTAGAATGCATTATGTCAAGCATAACTGAGATATGGGCTTTAAATTTCTGGATTTTCTTTTTAATGGATTCTTCTAGTTTCATCTGCACTCAATCCCTTAAATAGCATGTTGTTAGATTTCAAGTTCATTTGGCTTTAGAAGTGGGACAGGTACCAAGAAATGCCCTTCCTGGCAAGTTCTTTAGAAGTGAATTTGCTTTCCAAGTTTAACCTAAGAACATCTTTACCATTTAAACTGTTTTTGATACAACGAATAACTCGCTCTTTGGCAGGTTCTTGAGTTTGTCTTCCAGCAAGATCGTGGTCAGGGCTCACTGGAGAACTTCTCTAAAAATGTTCTAGTTGGCAAAGGACAGGTTACAGCCGTTTCAGCTTTAAAGGAGCTTCGGAAGATCAGCAATCTTTTATCTGAGATGTGAGGTTTGCTCCACTTATTATGTACACATGTATATACCATTTGTAATTTAACATTTTTTAAGTGCAAAATAGAATAAGTTTTTTCATGCCCAACAATTAGGCATTTTTCATTTAGACATTTATTTTGCTTAATTAAGCTTGAAAAATGTTATGATTTTCATATAATCAGTAGACATCCCATTAACTTGCAAGTTCACAAAAAATTGTCATATACTTGTTACAGTTATAACTTGATCCTAAATTCCTAATGTGTATTGAATAAACCCTAATCTTGAATCTTAAACCCTAAATCCCTTTTCTTACTATTTTCAACTAACTAATTTTAAATATATGAAATGTTGAAATTCAATAGACATTCAAATGGTGATAATTTGGAAGAACTCACCAGAATGATTAACTATTAAAACCGATGATTTTTCTGTTCAATATATTACATATTTATTTCCAGACAGACCATTAAAAAAAAGTGGTGGGGGGGGGGGAACATCTCTGCACCTATTAACATAGTTCAGAAGGCTCAAGAACCTGTTAAGATGTATATCATCTAATCTATGTTGTGAAAGCCCGGAAGAAGGGAAGTGATGAAGCCAAAGATGATCATCTGGATTTCCTTCACAATCATCCACCAGTGATTACCACCATTCACCATACCACCTTCTGCCTCATTTTCTCCTGCTGCCCCATGACCTTCTGCAGGCCGATTCCCATTCTCTGCTCCAGCTTCTCCCTCTGATACAAGTTATAGCAATAGCACAAGGAAAAAGGCTCATGAATAGGGTATGTGTCTAGTGTCATTATATCGGATAACAGTGAGCGAGATTTGAAGTAGCTGTAGCAGTTTAGCAAAACATCCGCAAAAAGGTTAAATGAAAGCATCCTATCAATTTTGTTGAAAAAAATTAGGATTTGCCTCACAAGATATGATTTGTGTTCAACAGCTGTTATTTATGCTAACATTAGCAAAATAAATAATGAATGCAATCTGGTGATGCATAATTCCACATACCCGTAGTGAACTCCCCCAAACCCTACCACAACCAGGAGAAAAAAATAAAAGAAAAAAGAGAAAATGAAAAATAATGCTTAATAAGGAAAATTTTTTGACAACAGACAAGTAACATAAATATTACCTGCCAAAGCAGCATTCTCATTTCCAT